CCGATTTGTGTTGATAAAATTGAAGGTGATGGAAATTGCTTATTTTGAGCATTAAGTCAGGAAGTTTGTCTAAGTCAAGAGTTTTATAAAATACTGCGTCAACTAGCAATTGATCTTTATTAATTCACTCTTTTAAAAGATAGAAATGCTTTTGATAATATAGAAATGCTTTTGATGCTTATATATCAAAACCAGTTTTAAAATACATTAGTGATTCAAAAATGGAGACTGACCAAATATGCAGTGCCGGAACAAGGGGGGGGGGCTAGGGGGCTATAGCCCCGGGCCCCGCAAATTTAGGGGCCCCAAAACATTTTAGAGGACCTCCAGAAACTTCTGTATTTTCGTGGTTTTTTTTACAAACCTCTTCTTCAAAATACAAATGGGTTTAAAATGATGGAAATAAAAGAAAATGACCAAATAGTTTATCTGCAAAATACTGGTGTACATTTATGATAGAGTTTTAGCTGACAGTTGATTTTTGTTCACATTAAGTTGTGTTTTTATTGACTTTTTAAAAAGTTTTATATATTTATATTTCTTATTGACTTTATTTTAAGATTGTTTTGACTATTCTTGTATATTGTTATGTAATTTATCATTTTAAAACTAATCATGGACTTGTTTTATAACTCTCCCTTATTAGGTTTTGATTTAAGTTTTAGCATACAAGAAATTGAATTTATTGTTACTATGCTAATTTAAAATACTATTGTAACTTTTAATGAAAGCTTCTTAATTTTTAAGTAGGTAATAAAAACCAAAAAAAAAAAGCTATTGCTATTTTAGTTTTACATTTCAAGTTTTTTTTTACAACTAAATTGAGTTTGTGCAAGAAAAATGAGTAAACAACATGTTAATATATAGAATATAAAATCTATAGAACTGTAAAATTATTTTGTAAAGTTGTTTTGTTTTGCATTTTAAATAACAAGAGTTGAAAAATAAAGCTTTTTAAACAACAAAATTAATTTGATTGAGGAATACAATTGAAGTTTCTTGTCTTGCAGATGGCCTCTTTTCTTTTTTAATCGCACGCGTTTTTTATAAAAATGCCAACACAGCTTTTAAAATACCAATGAGTTAATTAACCTCAACTGAGATTTGTAGTCTTCTAAAACCAATGCTTTTTTACCCTTGATAGGTAAGTTGTCTAGGAACTAAAAAAGGGTCACTAGCGTGTCACAACGGAATTTTTACTGAAAGAAAAAATTAAAATATAGATGAACTTTGAGCGTTAATTAAAATGTTTTATATATTAGGAATATAAAACATTTTAATTAACCCTGGTGTTGTATGTTTTGTTGGCCACTCTCTTCTTTGATTGTTTTCTATGCTTTATTAATTGATTAGTCATACTATTTTCATAATAGTATTATTATGAAAATAGTATGATTTAACTACTCGGGTCAGGTCACCCTGCTTCTGAAATACATGTAATCCAATACAACTTGCTTTATATAGAGCAAGTACAAATCCTTAGTTGTAGTGAAATCAATTAACTAAGATAAATATGAATTAAAACCCTTAATCTTTATGTCAATAAGGGTAGTAGAACCTCGTAAACCTTGAAAGATAATCTAACGAGTGTTAGTGAAAATAAGAATACTCAGTCATAAACTTCAAAACAGGTCAAATTTAAGAAGGAGATCATGTTGTAAAAACTCTTATGTAATATTGTTTAATTAGAAAAAAAAAGTTTAGAAATTTTTACCTAAATTGTATTATAAAATTAACTTAATCCAATTAGTTAAAAAAAAAAAATGTAAACTAAAAAAAGTAAATACTCTCTTTAAAAACGTTTTCTTTACCGTTAGAACATGTTACCTGAGTTAAGTGTTTGGTGCCGAGCCGGTAGGAATTACTGTATAGTGCTTTGCACCTAGGCAGCAAGCACTGTACAGTGTTTGTTACCTTCAGGTACGGCTTACTGTACAGTATACGCGACCGTTAAGTCAATCCTGCCTACTACACCGGCAACATCGTACTAACATAAAATCTAACGTGAATAAAACCGGGAGGCTGCATAAGCGCAAATTGGCATATGTGCAAACTGGCATAAGTGCGAAGCATTGCAAAAACTGGCATAAGTACGAACTGGCATATGTGTGAATTCGCCTAATCATTTTGCAAACATTGGCATAAGTACGAATTAGCATAAGTGCGAAGCAGTTACAAAAGCTGGCATAAGTGCGAACTGGCATAAGTGCGAATTGGCATAAGTGCGCCGAATAAAATTTCAAATATTGGCATAAGTGCAAACTAGTATCTCGCACTTATGCCAGTTCGCACTTATGCCAATGTTTGCAAATTTATTTGGCGCACTTATGCCAAATCGCAGTTATGCCAGTTCGCACTTATGCCAGTTTTTGTAACTGCTTCGCACTTATGTCAGTTCGCACTTATGCCAATGTTTGCAAATTTGTTCGGCGCACTTATGCCAATTCGCTTTTATACCAGTTCGCACTTGTGCCAATTTTTGCAATTGCTTCGCACTTATGCCATTTCGCACTTATGCCAATTTTCACTTAGCTAATGTTTGCAAAATGATTTGGCGCACTTATGGAAACTCATACATAAGCCAGTTTGCACTTATGCCAGTTTTTGCAACGCTTCGCACTTATGCCAGTTCGCACATATGTCAATTCGCGCTTATGCCAGTTTGTGCTTACGCCATTCGCACTTATGCCAGTTCACACTTATGAAATTCGCGTTTATTGAGTCGTCCCAATAAAACGTTAATACAACGTTGTGTTCCCGCTGGGGTACACGTATTTGTCTAATACAATTAGTATTTTAAAAATTTAATTATATTATAACGTAACTAACGTAAAAGAATTAGTTTGTAAAATAAGAAAATAAAAACTGAATTCATTTTATTATTAGCTCGATTTATAGTTTTTATTATTTATTTACCATTTCAATTTATTGATTTAATTTTTTAGACACATGGGTTAAAGATTAAAACAAAAAAACATTAAGTTGATATTACAGCTGGTCACTGGTGGAGGAAGAGAGGGGGGGGGTGGAAGGGGCGGAAGAAGAGATAGCTTCCAACTTTTGGAAAATATCTGTTTTTTCATCTCTGATTCTGGCTGCTTTAGCCATCCCTATTTTCCATTTCAGTACCCCCTCCCCTAATTTTTTTTTAATTTAGGTGCCCTAAGAAGTCCTTACAGTCTTATCACAGAGCACCGCGGATGAGCATTTAATTCGAAGTTCACGCCTCCTTCCTAACAGTTGTCGCAAAACTTTCCCAGAGTGGGGTTTGAACCCCGGATCCTTTGTTTCTGAGGCAAGTGCGCTACCGCTGCGCCACGGCTGCGCAACTTTCTTGACTTCCTACGTCACTGCAGCATTCATTTTTTTGGTGACGAAAGTAACCTATTGGTTAAATTGAACTAGTTATTTAAATATCGAGCAGCTTTAGCCAAGCTTTTTTTCAGTATGACTTGCTTTGTTTTTAATCCGCTAATTTATTGATGAGCTGAATTTTTGTATTAATTCATATTCTTATTTAATATACTTTAAAAGTTAATAATAACAGCAACCTTAATATAAAAAGTTTGTAATAATGTTTAGAAGAAAGTATTTTATTTTATTTATGATTTTATTTTATTAGAATTATCCTATTCATTTATTGCATTTCATTACTTTCACTGCATATTTATTCCTTCCATCGCATATTCATTTTTTCTGTTTCATATTCATTTCTTTCACCCCACATTTGTTCCTTCCATCGCACATTAATACTTCTGCACGTATTATTCATTAACGATGTAAACTACTTTTTTTTTTTTTAAATAACTATTGGTATATGGGATTTTTATGAAACATCACTATGAGGCACATATTTCCACATTTATGAAACATCACTATGAGGCACATATTTCCAGTTTACCTAAACGCTTGTTCAACACACATAGACATCTTAAAGAGCTAAGTTGTTTCACATATATTTTCTTAATTGTTTTATATATCTTCTAGACCAATTTGCCCCGCCTACTTAACTAATGCATGCAAATTTTAATTTTTTTTTTAACAAATAACTAAAATTCATATATATATTTTTTGCGATTATATCATATTTTTTAATCTTTTTCATGAAATTTGTTTCTTTATAAAAATAATTTGTCATCTAATACGCATACTATTATATAGACGAAACATATAAAATACATGAACAAAAGATTTTTAAACTATTTCCATACATGGACATACTTTTTGAACATGAAATAGGAACGTTATTATTAGAGAAAAAAAAAATATTTCAGAAACATAATATTTTCTGATATTGGATTATAAAGAAAGGAAGCCTCCATATTGTCGTTAGATTAAGCGCTTATAATTAACAATAAATAACAAGAATTCATTAAATTTAACGTTAATCTTTATATATCTAATATATATACATAACAATCAAATTTGGCAGCTTCTAATTAGACCATCAAAAAACTTTTAAATCTTATTTGTGTTAAATTCCATTTATTTTGTAGAATTAAAAATTTTTCTTTATTATTTTGACGAATCTCTAAATTAATTATGTTTATTTTTACGAAGTTTTAAAATGTCTATGGTAAAAAGTCATTAATAATATATTTATATGCACCTAATAACAATATGAAACCAATAATAGATTTATTTAGACCTTAAATTTTAAGATTTGTGAAGAAAATATTTGGATTAAAATAAACATGAAAAAGAATTTTTTTTATAACTAAAGTATAATAAACTAGTAAATAAATATAGTAGTAAAAACATTTTAAAATCTGTGCATAATATTTATTCAGATCGAAGAAAGATTTTTAAAAAAAGATTTTAGCAAAAATAATCTATTGTTTCTAGAAAATTAACAGATTTGTATTGCCTACTGCTATAATTATGTTATTATTATATTTTGGTCAGGGAAAAAGCGTAATTTGATTGGTCGCATTTATAAAGAAGTATAAAACCTATTGTATAATAAATGTACGCTCCTTCTAAAACAATGACATAAAATAATATAAATACGAAGTAGCAGGCGTATGAACTGATTTTACATTTGTTTAATTTTCTTGAGCTTGATTTCAGTGATTTTATCAAAATGTCGCACGATCCAATGCTTGATGACCCATTAAGGTATCTTCGAGTTGATCCTGCTGTAGCACTGAGAGACCAATCTAAATCTTTTGATGCAAAAAAATGGGTTTGGGTGCCAGTAAAGGAAGATGCAGGTTATTCAGCAGCAGAAGTAAAGGGGACAAATGGAGATATGGTAACTGTTGAAACTGAAGATGGAAAAGTAGGTTTATTTTGTGAACAGTCCAAGCAATTATTAATTTTAACAATAATAAACTGGTATTTACGTCTCTCTGTTAAGCTTAACAGAGCGATAGCCAAAATATTAATAAAGCAAAGAAATGTTATATTTTTTATTTAAGTACGCTATTAATAAAAAGCGTTTAAAATTCTTTAGTTTATTATGCGAAAAACTTTGAAAACATCTCAAATTTCCGATAGTATTTCTTAGTTTTTTTTTAAAGTTGCAAATTGATAATATTAGTCTCCCAAAACCTTTTAATGAATTTCAGTTTGCATTTATAAAAAAAAAAAAAAAAAAAAAAAACTAATACTTAATCATTTTTTGAAAAAAAAAATTTCAAGTAATGCTTTGTTTATTTTAACAGAAAGACGTGAATAAGATAAATTTTTTCCACATTTTATACACGTGTAGATATATTATTTAATGTTTTTTTAAGCACACTAGCATCCAATTTGGTTATTTTATACATTACGCTGTTTAGTTATACAAAATTTTTATGCAACCAGTGGTGGAACTACCATACTGCAAAACCCCGCTATGCGAAGGGGGGGGGGGGGCTCTGAGCTGTAGAGGGCCATATTTTTTGAAGGAACTGTAGTGTTTAAAAAATATTATCAATTTTAAAAATTTCAACCCTGTATTAAAGTAATGTCTGACCAAAAATAGAAATAAATAAAATATAAAACAACAACAAACTGATCAAAACAGAATTTAACAAAAATGGAAAAAAACACCTCTTTGTGGTGGAGTAATAAAAAATTTTGCGGGAGGAGGGGGGGGTGCAATATTTTAAGTTCCGCTACTGCATATAACAATCAAAATAAGTGAACTTTGTCCCCAACTTTAGCAAAAAAGTGCAACTTTATAACGTTTATATTTTATACCTTGCTCATAGTGACGATAAAAAATGTTGTATTTTTAAAGCGTATTAAATTGTTATTGTAAAAAGCTGTATAAAACAACAATAAAACAAAACTGTTGCTTTGTCTATACAAAAAGCATATGTTAAACAACTTCGTCATATTGTTTCATTGGCTGTTTTATACAGTTTATAACATTAAAAACATAAAACGCATTTAAAATAAAACGTGTTTTATTGTTAGCATTAATGGGGCATTAGCCTAGGAGAGCTTTTCTTTAACGCACTTATCCCTTGAACGGACTTTTTGTGATTTCTAAAAAATGCGCTTAATAAACGCGGTTGATACTATTTCATTCGTTAGATAATGCAACAATTTTAAGCATTTTATATAAAAACAATTTCTGTCAAATGTATTTATGCATAAAAATTTTCACTATCATTTAGCGTTGATGTAGTGTGGCAAACATTTTTATCAGGAAACAATGATTTAATTAAACAGCTCAATTTTGGGGGGATTTTCAATATAATTTCTTATACGAATTCTAGAAATTTTCTAAAGGAGCGTTACATTTTTGGAAAAAACTTCCCAAAATACATCCTAGAACTAAAAATCACTGATATGCTGTCTATATTAACTATTCAGGGTCAATGGTGAACCATTGATATATATATATATATATATACCATATCTTGTGTAAAATATTGATATATATATATATATATATATATATATATATATATATATATATATATATATATATATATATATATATATATATATATATATATATACAGTTTATCATATCAGTTTTTTGCTTAGTTTATTTTTAAAAATTTATACCAAAAATCGCGTTATTTTTAACACACCCAATCATTTCATTTTAAAAAATCAGTTTTTAAAAAATCAATTCCTAAGATGAGCTTTTTTTAATGAAACTCAAAAAAACTCAAAATAACGAAAAAATACTCACAAAAAATAAATAAAAATAAAACCTTATCTTTAAGGACTATACTTAAGTAAAAAGTAATTATTTCAACCATAAAAAAAAAAAACAAAAATAAACCTTACTTATCTCTATAAAAGTTTGCGATACTATTTTTTGAAAAAACTTTCGGTCTTGAAATACCAAATTCTATTGGAAGTTTTAGATGTTTTCAAAGTTTAAAGGGGCGTTTTCACAAGTTTGGGGCGACCATTAAATATTATTTGCAATTGAGCAAACTTTAGTTACACGTGATTTTTTTTTATTATTGGTTAAAGTATTAAATAAAATTATTTTTTTTAAATTTTAGACATTAGAGATGAAAAAAGAATTATGTGAACAGATGAACCCACCAAAATATGAGAAATGTGTTGATATGGCTTCTTTGACATATCTCAATGAAGCTAGCGTTCTATACAACTTAAAATCCAGATATTTTGAAGGGCTCATATACGTAAGTTTTATTCATAAGTTCATATTTTGATGCTCTATATTTTCTTATGTTTATATTTTGTGTGTTGTTCCATGATAAATCAAAGTTTGTATTCAAAAAGTATTTGTGTATATTTAAAAAAAAAAAAAAGATAAACTTCTTTTAAATAATTAATATAATTTAATAATTATATTAAATTAAATTTTTTTTTTGAATGAGTATTAGAAAAAAATCTTTATTTTTTAAGACTTACTCTGGTCTATTTTGCATTGCAATAAATCCATACCGTCGCTTGCCTATATATACTGATGAAGTAATTAAAATCTATCGGGGAAAACGAAGAGTCGAATGCCCTCCGCATGTCTTTGCTATTGTTGATGAAGCTTACCAAGATATGTTGACGGAACACGAAAATCAATCTATGTTAATTACGTAAGTATAATAGGTTTGTAAAATTCTTAGCAAAAGTATGTTATAATGCGATAGGGTGTTTTACAAGGTTTACAATTTAGAAAATAGATCATAAGTATCTTTAAATTTCCGACGAAGTGTGTATGCATTAGTTGAAAATGGGCATAGCAGTCTTTTAATTAAAACAAGTTTTCCCAAAATCATTTTTGATTATTTCTACAATAAGCTTACACACACACACACACACACACACACACACACACACACACACACACACACACACACACACACACACACACACACACACACTCTCTCACACACACACACACACTCTCTCACACATACACACACAAACACACACAGACGTTTAATGATTTTTTTTACTAAATTTTGGTACATTGGAACCTTTTTGTACCTTCAGTAAGCAAATTGGAACCTTTTTTTATATTTAGTTGGCCAAATGGAACTTGGCCAATTAATCTCTGAGCAGCCGTAGCGCCACAATAGCGCACTTGCCTCAGAAACAAAGGATCCGTGGTTCAAACCCCACCTCTGGGCAAGTGTTGCGACATCAGTTAGGAAGGAGGCATGAACTTCCGATTAAATGCTCATCCGCGGTGCTCTGTGATAAGACCTTAAGGACTTCTTAGGGTATCTAGAAAAAAAAAATTAAAAAAAAAAAAAGAATCTCTAGCCGAAAATATTGGGGAATTAGAGGACCGTTTATTTTAGTCGGCAAAAACCCTTTCGGTAATCCTCCCCGTCCTTCTCCCACTTAATACCTACTTTCGCCGGCCCTACACATATTGACTGCTTTTTAGAGATCAGCGCGGTGAAGTCTACATACATCAACTGGTTTTTATAGATGGAATGTACAATGATTAAGGTTAATACAGTTGTACATAACTATTGTATGTACCTTGGTTAATAACCAATACAATAGTTTAAGAAGACAGTCTGTTAAACTATATAAATTGATTTAAATTGTCAATTTTTATCAGTAAGAAAATTTATTAAAAATTTATGAGTAAATATTCAGCAACCGTAAACTTCCATCAAGTTGATGGAAGATCACGGTTGCTAGATATTTACTCATAATTTATAATAAATTTTCAAGACGGGTAATAATTAACCGCCTTGTAAAGTATAAGGGAGGTTTTTTTGCCCTAGTGATTTGAATGTAGGATTTTCGGATGTAGCGTTTTTTGATGTTTGAGCTAACTTCCAGACATAGAATAGTTAACTTTCAAACATGGAGCAAATTTCCAAACATATGTTTATACTTATATTTAATAAGGATGTTTTACAAAAAATTGCAATGATTGGAGCCTAAGAATAAAAAAGCTTTAAAATTTTGGCAACACCTGCCACAAACGTGACAGCAACAAATTGATAAAAAATTTTTTTTTTTGCTGTTCTTAACTCTAACCCCCCTCCCCACTTTTTTTTTAAAGATCTTTTTTTTTTTTTTAGAATTTAGAATAAATCAGTTATAGAGGACTTTTTTTTAAAAATTGAAGATTGTGCCTCTCCACTTCGAAACCTGTGTCGTCAGCTCTTCAACTAAATTTAGTAATCATTGATAAATTTTAAAATTCATAAAAAAATTTCTTGGCGTTTAAAAATTATGGTTTTAAAAAGTTTGTAACCTCCTCAAATCGGTTTAAACTATATCGTCATAACTTTTAACAAAAGTATTTTTTATTTTGTATCTTTAGCAATTTTATTCAAATTATACTAATTTTGGGCTGAGAAAAAAAAAAATGGCAACAAATTTTTTTATTAGCTCTAGTTTCTGAGATATATAAAAGCAATTAATTTTTATTTTAGTTAATTTGCAGCAGAGCAATATGACATATTTAATTTACATATTCTAATAATATTTAAAGTACATTTGGTTTTTTTTTTTATTACAAATATATTCTAACAGTTTTAAACAAAAAAATCATGATCATCAAAGTATTAGGTATAAGGATGATAATGGGGTATCGTCACGAGATCGTGATCTTTTTGCTTTCCTTTTGTAGTTCTGAAGCATCCCTACACACAAACCAGCAGTAATCTGCAAGTATAGCCTCATTCCAACGACCCTGATATCTTTGTTCCATTACAAAAATAACTCGGTAAAACCTTTCCCCATGTTCATTACTAACACCCCCAGTTGTGTGTGTGTGTGTGTGTGTGTGTTGAGGGTTACCAATTGAATGTAGTTATCATCTCTTTTGTTGCCTAAAAATCCACAAACCACTCCCTCAAGAGCTTCACAAGTTTTCTTTTCTTGCCCCATCAAAACTTCGTCAAATGCATGGACTCTTCATAAGTTGATGTATTTGTGGCCCAACAAAAATATCCTTTCTTAACTTTTACATCAATTATTTTTGGGAATTTATTTCTTAAATACCTAAAAGCCTGTCATTCTTTGTTCATACCTTTGACAAAATTTTTCATTAAACCCAACTTAATATGTAATGGTGGAAGAAAAACATCTTTTAGATCCACGAGTTGTTCAGTAATAGCATTTTTTTCATCTGTTGAGATTTCTTGCAAGCCAGTCTTCTTTTATATAATGTGAAATTCTGTCTCTACTGTCTCACATACACAAAAAGCAGCTGTATTTAGTATTCCCTGATTGCATTCCTAAAAGCATCGCAATTACTATTAGATCACCAGAAATTTTCCATTTGTGTTCATTGTAATTAATTGAGTTGATAAGAACTTTAATGTTTTTATAAGTCTTTTTCATGTGAGCTGCATGACCAATAGGAACAGAAGGAAGATGGTTTCCCTTGTGCAGTAACACAGCTTTCAAACTTTGCTTAGATGAGTCTATAAATAATTTTCATTCAGTTGAATCATAGTTCAAATTAAAACAATACATTAATCCAAAGACATCAATGCAAAAAACAAGATTATTTTTCTTCTCAAAAAAAGAAAGCAGGTTCTGCTGCCATTTTCTGTAATGTGAAACCTTGATATCAATTTGGAGAAGGTTCCACTTCTTTAGTCTTGACCCTAGAAGATCGAAAAAGATTGCATAATTCTCCTTGACTCAATCTGTATGGCACATCTCTGTTAACACAAAATCAGGATCATTTGATGTGGAAGGCTTGTTTTCTTCTTTTTTTTTCTATTTCTACTTCATTTCTGCCTTCATTTCCTGCTTCTAACTCTCAACTTTGTGGTGGAATAGAAACTGGTAAACTATCCAAATGTGAAATGAGTTGAATGGCATATAAAAGATTCGGATATTTAACTCTTCTTATTTTCTTCATTGACAAACCTGCCTTAATGGGTAGGATCAAGCAGAAATAACATTCATCTGTAGGGGAGAGTATGCACACATGATCCTAAAAACCTCCAGGTCAACTTACAGAATATATGATTTTATTTTGAACTCTAAAATAACAATACATAATAGCAAATTTTATACCTTATTTTAATTCAATAATCATTTTTTTAACAGAACATTTTAAGTAGATTTAAAATTATAAAAACTAAGAACGCTCAATTGAGATCATGGGTACATACCAGTATGCTCCCTTGATCCTACCTATATGCACCCTTGATCCTATGTATGTGTACTTGATTCGAGATCAAATTTATACCATGAATGTATAAGAATAACTTTTAAGTCATCAAAACAATGTCTATAATAAAAACCAATAAACTTATTATTAATTTTAATACAAATTTATCTTTCTTTAAAATCAAAGAAAAAAATGTTATCTTTTACTGAGACTCAACGTTTTTATTTTCATTACTTTCAAGATCAAGTTTTCTTTTCCTTGTCATGAAAATCTTATTTTGCGTTTCATGTTTTTTCTTTTTGACTGAGATTTTTTTTTATTTCCTGAGGCTTATTTAACTCATTTCGAACAGGAGTGCCTGTGAGTATTCAAGTACGCTGATGTTTACGTCTTTTAATGGATTTCCATGATCCAGCTTTTGGAAATGACCTAATTTTTTCTAGACTTGTTTGATGAGAGATATTAGAAACACTGGATAGTTGACTTCCAGGGTCAGATATAGGCTGAATAGGCAATACACTACAAGCTGAACCAGATTACAGACTTGACATCAATGATTGATTAAAAGCTGGGGCATGAACAATAGCAGAAACTGAATCAACAACACTTGGAAATGGGTTAGCAGTAATAGGTTCTGGACAGTCTGTTACATATGAAGACAAAACTCATTATCAGAAAATATGTTAAGATTAAAGGGTTCAATTCTTGCCACAGCAAATCCTGCAGAAATGTTAGACAAAGTATAAGCTTTTGCATAGGCTTTCCTTACAACTGAAGCTATACCATATATGGTCTTGGATTAGATACAATCCAATCATCGCAGGCTGCATTGTAATAACGTTTTAGTGGCCCATAAACTGACCGATCTAATGGCTGCAACTTGTGACAACAATGTGATGGTAAGAACAGCATAGTTTGGCCATTTTTTTTAGCTAAATTTAAACACACAATTGAAACATGGTTCTCGTGGTTGTCAAGAAGTAAAAGCACTGGATTAGCTGGTGAACATTTCACACTTTGAATAAAATGTTTCATCCACTCTTAAAACGTTGCAACATTCATCCAACCAGATTGATTTGCAACCCCAACACATCCAGGTGGACCACCATTTATCATACTTCCTTTGAAATGAACTTTTGGTAAAATAAAAAAATGGAGGGATTGAGTTTCCTATTGCATTAACTGCACAACAAACTGTTACCGATGTCCCTTTTTCTGCTGAAGTTACCCTTCCAACTTGTTTATTTCCTTTTTTTAGCAATTATTTTAACTGGTTTTTGAATAGTTGTTATACCTGTCTCATCAACATTATATATGTTTTGTGGCTGAAACTTGTGTCGTAGACGAACATCTTTTAGATTAGTGAAAAATTCTCTGACTGTATAAAAATTAAAAGCAGTTGCTCGTGCTTTACTAGTAGCTTCTGGATTTCGTTAAGATAACTCATTCCTACGTAAAATAAAACCACGAAGCCACTGTTTCCCAGCAATTTGT